ACGCCGCGCGGAGCCTCGAGCGCGCGCTCGCGCGCGCCGAGGCCGGCGCCGCCGCGGCGCGCGACGCCCGGGCCTTCGCCGACGACTACCTCCGCTGGCGCGGCGGCCTCGTCGCGTCCTTCGAGGAGGAGGGCCTCGACGACGCCTTCGACCTCGCGACGGACGTGCGCGGCGAGGAGCTCCGCGGCGAGCGCGCGGCGCTCGAGGCCAAGCTCGCGGACGACTACCTCGACGCGTGCGCCGCGGCGCTCGAGGCCGACTACGACCGCTTCCGCGCGTGGCAGGCGGCCGAGGCCGCGGACGCGGACGCGTACGTCTCCTGGCGCGCGGCCCTCCTCGAGGAGGCCGCCGCGGAGGACGCGGAGGACGAGGGCCTCGAGGAGGGCGACGTCGCCTTCGCGGCCCTGGCGTTCCTCGCGTACCTCGTCGCCTACGCGGTCTGCGTCGGCCTCGTCCTCGCCGCGATCCACGTGTCGCGCCCGGCGCCGGTTATCCTCGAGATCGCGCCGGCGGAGACGCCCGCGCTCGTCGCGTCCTTCACCGCCAGGGTCGCCGAGGTCGCCGCGGCGGCCGTCGAGACCGTCGCGGCCGCGGCCGCCGAGACCGTCGCGCCCGCCGAGGCCGCCGAGACCGTCGAGACGCCCGCGGTCGTCGCGTCGGCGTCGTCGGCCCTCGTTGCCGTCGTCACCGCCAAGGTCGCCGAGGTCGCCGCGGCCGCCGTCGAGACCGTCGCGGCCGTCGCGGCCGCCGAGCCCGCGGCCGCCGAGGCCGAGGTCGAGGCCGAGGCCGAGCCCGCCGCGAAGGGCTGGGCGCGGTCGTCGATCTTCTGGGGCCCGCCCGCGGCGAAGAAGGGCCGCCACCCCTGGGCCCGCGGCGCGTCCGCGCACCGCATCTTCGGCTGAGGCCGACCCCCCCCAAGCAAGCACCGCGCTCCCCGTAACGCCCCGGGGCGCGATTCCGATCTTCTTACGCGCGCGCGCCCGCCGCGGCCTCACGCGTCGACGTCGCCGCCGACGGTGAAGATCTTGAGGGACGTGCCGAGGGAGAAGGCGTCGTGCATCTTGCCCTTGTTGCGGTCGACGGAGACGACGCGGTCGCCGTCCTTGATGTGGCCGAGCTCCTTGGACGCGCGGATGGACTCCGCGCGGAGGAGCCCCATGCGCGTGCCGGCGAGGTAGGGGTTCTGGTCCGTCGCGCAGGCGTCGAGGAGCACGGGGTGGATGGCCCGGTGGAGCTGGAGGCGCCGCGCGACGTCGGCGGAGTAGCAGAAGGCGAGCACGGGCGCGTTGGGCCGGTGGCGCGCGACCGCGCGCGCGAGCGAGCCCGACATCGTGATGCACGTGATGAGCTTCGCGCCGAGGACGTGGGCCGCGTCGACGGCGGCCTTGGCGACGGCGTCGAGCTCGACATCGGCGAGGGGCTCGACGGCCGCGTTCGGCGGCGCCGCGTCGCGGATCGCGTCGGCCTCGGCGCAGATCGCGCGCATCGCCGCGAGGGCCTGCACGGGGTACTTGCCCGCGGCGGTCTCCCCCGAGAGCATGACGGCGTCGGCGCCGTCCAAGACGGCGGCCGCGACGTCCGTGACCTCGGCGCGCGTCGGCCGCGGCATGCGCATCATCGAATCGAGCATCTGCGTCGCGACGATGACGGGCTTGCCCGCGGCGTTGCACTTGGCGACCATCATGCGCTGCGCGGCGAAGACCTTGGCGTAGGCGATCTCGACGCCGAGATCGCCGCGCGCGACCATGATGCCGTCGGACGCCTCGAGGATCTCGTCGAAGTGGTCCACGCCCTCCTGGTTCTCGATCTTGGAGACGATCAGGGGGAGCGGCGCGTCGCTTCCGGCCCTCGCGCGGCACCGCTCCAGAAACGCGCGGCAGGACCGCACGTTCGACGCGTTGCGCACGAAGGACAGGGCGACGTAGTCCGCGCCGACGTCCACGGACCACGCCAGGTCCTCCTTGTCCTTGGCCGTGAGCGCCGGTAGGTCGAGGATCGTGTCGGGTAAATTCACGCCCTTTCGCGCCTTGATGGGGCCCGCGTTCTCCGCGACGCAGGTCACGCCCGTCGTCTCGATGGATGTCACGCGCAACGCGATCAACCCGTCGTCGAGGAGCACGAGGCCGCCGACGGACACCGTCGAGGGGAGCGACTCGTAGTCGACGTGGAGCCGGAGCGGCGCGCCGGGCTCCGGCGGCGCGTCGCCGCTCACGTCGGCGAAGGTGCAGACCACCGTCATGCCGTCGGCGATCTCCAGCACGTCCGCATTGCCCGGGAGCGGGCCCGTGCGCACCTCGGGCCCCTTGGTGTCGACGAGCACCGCGCGGAGGTTCGGCGGCAGGTCGTTCGCGAGCCGCGCCTCGAGGCGCCCCTCGAGGCGCATGTGCTCGCCGCGCGCGCCGCGCACGAGGGCGAGCTTGCCCGCGGGCTCGCTGTAGTCGCCGACGTGGCTGAAGTTGAGCCGCGTGCAGGTCATGCCGTTGTCGACGAGCTCCTGGACGCGCTCCGCGGTCTCCGACGACGGGCCCAACGTGCAGACGATCTTCGTCATGTTCGTGCCGTAGGTCGTCGAGAGCGGGCGCGCCGCGCGCCGCGCGAAGGGTTGCGCGACGCGCTGCGTCGCGGCGCGGAGCATGGCTGCGGGCGGTACACTTCCTGACAGGAGAGCGTCGAGCGTCACAACTTTTGGGTCCACTATGGGCAGTTCAACCTGTTTGATTGCCGTCGGGATGAACAGCACGGAGATCGGCAGGGGCCCGGGCTGCCCGCTCCCAGGTAGCCCATGCGATGGCAGGCCGTGCCGCGCCCGCTCGCGCTGGCGGCCGTCGCCTACGCGCTGCTGCGCGCGTGCACGCCGGACGTGCGCGTCGCGACGGCGGCGCCAGCGGACCTCGCGCCGGTGGCGTGCGACATGGGCGACGACCGGCGGGACCTCTGGGGCGCCGTCGAGCGGTTCAAGTTCGGCCAGACCTACGCGCCGGCGACGGTCGGCGTCGTCGTCGTCGGCGCCGAGGGCAGCGGCAGCAAGCTCGCGGCGCTGGCCGTCGCGCGCGCCGTCGAGGCGTCGCGGCGGAGCGAGAGCGAGTGGGTCAACACGACGTGCGAGGGCTCCGCGGGCGTCTGGGCGGCCTGGGACGGCCACGGCGTCCACGCCAACTACTGCACGGGCACCGTCGTCGTCCACCGGTCGCTGCCCCACGGGGCCTGCTTCCCGCCGCGCCGGAAACGACCGGCGAGCCGGACCCGTCCAGCAAAAACTTCGAACCTCTCCATCTCCGTCACATCGATGTCGATGCGGCTGGTTTTTGGACGAGTCGTTTGCTCTCGTCGAACTCGTTCCAGAGAGCCGTTGTCGAAACCATTCGAGTACGCACGCGTCGTGTCGGATATGTTTGTTTCCGGCCCAGGCTTCCCGGACGTCGGCCGGCTCGTCCGCGACGTCGCGTCCTTCGGCTTCGCGACGTCGCTGGTGCTCTGCGCGCGCGACGGCCGGTCCGCGCTCCGGTCCAAGGTGCGCGCGCACCAGCGGCGCGCGGCCGTCGCCCGGGACGAGCACGCGCTCGCGACGGCGGCGCTCCAAAGGCTCCTCGAGGACCCGCCCGCGCCGGCGTACGTCTTCGCCTACGAGGCCTACGCGGCCCTGGGGTCGGCCTACCTGCGGCCCCTGCTCGCCTTCCTGAAGCTGCCGCTCGTCGCCGGCGGCGCCTCCCTGGCGACGCGCGACGGCAACGCGGACTGGCAGGCGCCGCGGCGGCCCGCGGACTGGCTCCGCGACGCCGCGGTCGCCGCGGTCGCGGGCCGGCCGCCGGCCTACCGCCGGGCCGGGGGCGGCGAGCTGTAAAAGCGAGGTAGCGTGGGAGCGAGTTACAAGAGCGCGAACGCGCCTAGTTCTTCTTGCGGCCGGTCTTCGTCTTGGCCTTCTTGGCGACGCCGGCCTGGACCTTGGTGAGGCGGTGGAGGGCGGACCACCGCGCGAGGGCCTTGGCCGTGAGGTCGCCGCGGTAGTACTTGCCCGCCGTCTGGGTCTTGATGGACTTGGCGACGCGGCGGAAGTTCTTGCGGAGCGGCGTCACGTTGACGCTCTTCGCGGGCTTCGTGGCGTTCTTCGGCGCCTTGAGGCCCATGGTGACCTTGCCGTCGGCGCCGATGTCGATGGCGATGGTCTTCTCGTTGGCGAGGCCGCTGTACTTGAACGCGTTCACGTTCATGACGTTGCCCTTCTCCGCCGTGAGCTGGAGGTTCCAGCCCGTGCCCTCCTTGCGCTTCACGAGGGCGCTGTTGCAGTTCCTCACGTACATCCACGTCTGGGACGCGGGCAGGGACACCATCTTGACCTAGGGAGCGGGGGGCGGCGGTGACCGCGGCGGCCGCGCGCGGGCGCGCGACGAAGCGAGCGACGGAGCGGCGGCGCGACGGGGCGGGGGCCGGCGGCGGCCGTCGAGGAGCCAAGCTGCGGCCGTCCGCGCGCCGCCGGCGTGCAGCGATGCGCTCCGGCGGCCTCGGCGACACGGCGCGCTCCGGAGGAGGCGCGCCGCGCGTCGGAGGGCTAAGCGCCGCAAGATCGCCACCGCGCACGACGTCGGCGGGCAAATTTTTCGCAGCTTTGGCCACAGCGACGTTCGACGGCCTTCTCTCGTGGATAATACAACATCTCTCGTCGCTCAGCCGCCGCTAGGCCCGAATGAGACGCCGCATAGCACAATGTCGCTCTTTAGGCGAGTGAGGCGTAAGTCCTAGACCTAGCCTAGCCTGGGGCCCTGGCCGAAGGTGTCGTAGTTAATCAAGAGCAGCCCAAGGCTGAGCCATCACAGACCGCCACACAGCCGCTGTTCGGGCTGGCCGCGTCCGCCCGTGCTCACCGCCGTCGTTTCCTTCCGCTGCGCGGGCAGCACCGCGGAATAGAGGCGCCGCACACGCAAAGAGCGCTCACTTGAAGGCGAGTCGGAGGCAGCGCGTCCTCCCGCTCGATGCGGCGGCGCGATGATGTCGGATCTCGATAGCGAGCGGGGCTCGAACGCGTCGCAGATCTGCACGGCGAACCTGACGGAGGACCAGCAGCGGCTGCTCGAGCCGCGGCTGCGCAAGCTCAACGTCCTGTTCAAGTTCGGCGCGAGCTGCTGCTGTTGCACCGCGTGCCTCAGCCTCATCCCCTACTGGCTCTACTCGAGGCGCGTCGTACGGCTGATCAAGCACTACGAGGAGCAGAACATGTCGCCCGCCGACGAGAACAACAGCGTCCTGTCCATCGAGTCCGGGGATCCCGTCGTGTGACGCGGCGCGCGTCCTTACGGATTCTGCTCTACACACACACACAAGTTTCCTTACCGCCGCGACGCGGCGCGCATGGCCGCGGCGCCGCCGAGCGCGCCGACGAGCGCGCCGAGGGCGAACGCGCGCGCGGCGACGTCGCCGCGGCGCGGGCCCGGCGCGACCGCCGCGTCGTCGCCGCGCTCGTCGTCGCCGCGCTCGTCGTCGGGGAGCGTGATGAAGAGGGACCAGCGGCCGGCGCCGTCCGCGGACTTGCTCTCGTGGCCGCGGCCGCCGCAGTCCTCGGCGAGCACGCAGTCGCCCGCGCCGAAGACGCGCTCGGAGCCGTCGCCCGTCGTCACGGACGTCGACCCGTTGAGGCAGACGATGATCTGGCGCTGGGGAGCGTTGTGGTACTTGAAATCATAACTACCGCTCGTGTAGCGCAGGTAGACTCCCGTCGACTCGATGCGGCGCGACATCTTGCCGATGGCGCCCTTCGCATCGAGCTTCCACGACGCCGCGCCCCAATGCGACTCCGCGCCGTCGTCGTAGAGCCGCGTCATGGTCCAGTCGCTGGGGTCCGCCGACGCGGACGGCGCGTAGTTCATCGTGGGGCAAGAGAGCTAGTAAAGACATGTCTCGAGAAGCATTGTTGAACCCACGGAGCAGCCCAGGTGCAGGCCCCCATACGAGACGATGGTGGACGCCGACGACATGGAGATGACGGAGGCGTTCCGCGTGCTCTGCCTGCCGCCGCACGCGACGGCCTACGAGGTGAAGCGCGCCTACCGCAAGGCGGCGCTGGCCGTGCACCCCGACAAGCCCGGCGGCTCGGCGCGGCTCTTCCGGCGCGTCCAGGCGGCCTACGAGGTGTGCCTCGCGGCCGTCGAGGCCTTCGGCGCCGCCGCGGACGTGGCCGTGGACCACGACGAGCCCTGGGCCAAGGCCGCGCGGGCCTTCCCCGGCTTCGCGGCGCTCGGCGGCCTCGTGGTAAATGGCACGGAGGACGAGCCCTACGACTGGCTCTACTTCGACGGCGAGGAGGAGGAGCCCTGGGACGCCGTGCTCGACCGCGTGGCGGCCGCGCGCGACCACTTCGGGCGGCCGCCGCCGACGGGCGAGAGCCCCTGGCTCGAGGTCAGCGGCCTCGCGCGGCTCCTCGCGGCGGCGCCGGTCTTGGTCGTCGACGCGCGGACCGCGGACGAGCGCGAGGCCGCGGGCCCGCTCCCGGCGCCCTGCGTCGTCGCGCTGCCGGCGGTCTGGCTCGTCGACGAGGCGGGCGCGCCGAAGCTCGCCGACGCGCCGGCGGCAGAGCCGCGCGCCGCGCGCCACACGTGCGACGACGGCGTCCCCGACTACGGCGCGCTGCCGTGTGGAAATCAAATCTTCAACCCGACTTCAATGTCGGCGTATGCGACCGTTTCGACGCGAGGTTTTCTGCTGTGCTTCGAGAACTCGACGAGAGCAATCGATTCGTCCAAAAATCAGCCGAATCGACTTCGATGTGACCGAGCTAGAGAATTCTCAAGTTTGGTCAGGACCACCCAAACCAGTGGTTGAATTCCACACAGGCGCGCTCGAGGCCGCGGTCGGCGCGGACGCGACGCGGGCCCTGCGGCGCATCTTCGTCTACGAGGCCGCCCACGTCGTCGTCGTCTGCCAGACGGGCGCGGCCTCGCGCCGGGGCGCGAGGCGGCCCGACTGCGCCGTCGTCGCCGCGGCGCTCCGGAGCTCCAAGGCCGTCGGCCGCGCCGCGGCCGTGCGCCAGCTCCGCGGCGGCTACGCGCAGCAGACCTTCCTCTCGCGGCGGCTGCTCGGCTCCTACGACGGCGTCTCCGGGCTCCGCTACCGCGCCACGGCCAAGGCCGGCGTCGTCGTCCGCGCGGGCGTCGAGCTCCGCACGGCTTTGGTCGCGCACGTGCCCGCGGGGTCCCTCGTCGTCTGCCGGGCGACGCGGCGCGGGCGCGAGCCCGAGAAGGCGTCGACGGCCAAGGGCAAAAAGCGGCTCCGCGTCGTCTACCCCCACGACGGCTGGGTCACGGCCGCGTCGCTGACGGACGAGGCGTCGTACGCGCGGGGCCTCGCGCCGCCGGACGCGCCGCCGCCGCCGCCGCCGCCGCCGGACCTGCGGCCCGTGGCCAACGCGACGGCCGGCGGGTCCTTCGCCGACTTCTTGAAAGCGCGCAACGGCGGCCTGGCGACCTAAGCATAGCCCGCCGTCCTAGGCTTTAGGCAGCTTCCAGACGTCCTCCCAGGGCACGTCGCCGTCTTCGAGGCACAGCGTCGGCACGAGCCGCGGGACCGTGTCGACGGCCTGGGCGTAGAGGCAGGGGCTCAGGGGCTCGAGGTCGGCGAGCACGGCGGTGAAGTTGACGACGGAGACGTGGAGGTCGTCGGCCGTGATCTTCGTGGAGTTCGACGACGCCGCGACGTTCCGCGTCGCGGCCTCCGGGAGGCCGACGGCGCGGAGGAGCCGGGAGATCTCCGCCGGCGCGTCGAGCATGAGGGCCTCGTAGTACCAGAGGAAGGGCCGGCCGCCCGACGCGCGCGCCGCGGCGCCGATGATGTCGACGAAGAGCTCCGCGTCTTTGTGCGTCGACTTGGCCAAGTAGGCCGCGGAGAGCTCGAGGGGCCGGTCCATGAGGGCCTTGTGGTCCTCGTAGCACGCGTGGGCCCGCGCGCTGAGGACCTTGTGCGTGCCGTAGCAGTGCTCGACGAGCACGTCCGCGTGGAGCTTGGACACGGCGCGCTTCACGAGATTCGTCCGCGCGTAGACCTGGGCAGGAAAAGAGAGATTCAACGTCGCTTCAACGTGAGTGTTCCGCGCGCGCGCGTTCCAGAAAAAGCGTCCACGCTTCGAGACCGTTCCAAGAGATGATCGCTCGTCTAAAAATCAGCCGAAACGAGTGGAAAACGGCCGAGATAGGAGCCTTTGAAGTTGGGAATTTCGCTCTCTTTTCCTGCCCTGGCGTAGACGACCGTGAGCACGCCGGGCAGGCGCAGCAGCCGCGGCCAGTCGTCGGCCCAGCTCAACGGCGGCGCGTCGTGGAAGAGCGCGTGGCGCGGCGAGATGTCGAAGCCGGACACGGCGCCCGCGCACGCCGCGGGCGGCTCCCGCGGCGCCGCCGCGGCCCAGACGGGCACGCCGCGCGCGTCGCGGTCGCCGCAGTCCATGGCGCACGTCGGCGCGGCGAGGATGGCGTAGAACGTCCGGAACGTGTCGTTGACGCCGCTCCGGCAGCAGCTGTGCGCCTCGTGGGCGAAGAAGTTCACGGCGGGCTCGTTCGCCAGGAGGTCCGCGGCCCAGGTGCTGCCCGTGCGCGACTCCTTGAACATGGCGATGCGGTACCGCTTCTGCTTCCCTTCGACGCGGGCCAGCGCGGCGACGGCCGCGACGACGACGACGCGCATGGGCATTAATTTTTGTCGATGCCCATCGATGCAGTGCGTCAACGAGGGCTGCATCCGCCCAGGCGGGCAACATCGGCGTAGCGTGTTCAATGAGATGATCAACATCCGTCCTCAGGGCTCGATTTTGGCCGCCGGCCTCGTCGCATCGAGCGCTGCATCGCCGCGCGCGCACCCGACTGCGCGCCATGTCGGAGCACGTGACGCCGTCGGACTTCGTGCATGACCTGAAGCCCTACCCCTACGTGCCCGAGGCGCGCGAGAAGCAGCGCATCATCGACCCCGTCGGCGTCATGCTGTCGCGGGAGCAGCGGGGGCGCGAGCAGATCATCGCCCAGGAGATGGTGAAGATCGTGCGCGAGGAGATCACCAAGTGCTACCAGCGCGAGGGCACGAACCACTACCAGAACTGCAAGCACCTGACGAAGCAGCGCGTCGCCGGCGCCGTTCGCCGCGCGCGGCGGGGGACGGCGCGACGCCGGGGGACGCGGTCGACGCCGCCGCCGCAGGTACTACGACTTGATCACCGCGCCCGGTTTTGGCATGCTCCAACCAAGCAAGGAGTGAGCGCGCGCGCGCGCGCGCGCGGGGCTAAACCCCGGCGAAACCCGCGGACTCGCGCTCGTAGTCCGGCGGGGGGATCGACTCGCCTTACGCTCCCGGCGGGCGCGCCGCCGCCGCTGCCGGCGGACACCCCGCCGCCGCCTCGGCCCGCGTCGGGAGCGGGGGCGCCGTCGGCCGCGGCGGCGGCGCCGCGAGCGGGCTCCGCGTCTCGGCGTCCCGGGCTAGGCGCCAAATTACGCACGGCGTCTTCCGCGCGCCTGGGGGAAACCGCGGCCGCGCGCTCGGCCGGCGATCGGCGCGCTGGCGGGGCTGGCCTACGTCTACATGGTCGCCGCGCTCGTGCCGCGTGGGGCGGCTTCACGTTCGTCGCGAACATCGCCGGGCTCCACGCGTTCGTGCTCGTGGCGTGCGGGCGGGAAAAGCGTCGGTGAGCTGCCAGTCCAGAGCTAGCGCCTGGCGCTTGGAGGCTGCCCAGACGCCGAGATCAAACGCTGAGCACCGCCATACTGGGGCGGCAACAAGAGCTCAATGTGCTCACTTGAGCTCAAGGTAGCTTTCGCCACTAGTGTTCGCATCCATCCATCCATCGACGCGGCCGTCTGCGACACGCAGAGGCTGCGTCGCGTCGCGGCCGGGCCGGCACGGCCGCGGCGCCATGGACTTTTACCGCAAGGTGCCCGACGAGCTCAAGGAGGCGTCGCGGACGGGCGGGCTCCTGTCGCTCTGCGCCTGCGGCGTCGTCGCCCTCACGCTCGTCACGGAGATCGGCGCCTTCCTGCGCACGGAGGTGCGCACGAAGATCGACGTCGACACGTTCGCCGGGTCGCAGCTCCGCGTGAACTTCAACCTGTCGTTCCCGCACCTGCACTGCGACTACGCGTCCGTGGACCTCTGGGACAAGATCGGGCGGAACCAGGCGAACGTGACCCAGAACATCGAGAAGTGGCAGCTCGACGAGGACGGCGTGAAGCGCATGTACCAGGGGCGGAACCGCCGCGCGTTCGACATCGACCACGACGTGCACCACCCGCCCATCGAGGAGATGCACGCGAACGGCGTCCACGTCTGGCACGTGAACGCCGACGAGTGGGAGGGGCTCCACGAGCACCACGAGTACGTCTTCGTCGACTTCTACGCGCCGTGGTGCCTCTACTGCCAGTCGCTCCGGTCGACGTGGGAGGCGCTCGCCGAGGAGCTCGAGAAGCGCGACCTCGGCGTGGCCGTCGCCGCCGTGGACTGCGTCGACAACGAGGCGTTCTGCCACGACATGAAGGTCCAGACGTTCCCGACGCTCCGCTTCTACCACCACGGCGAGCAGGTCAACGAGGGCGAGTACCGCTTCGACCGCACGGTCGCCGCGCTGACGGACTTCGTGACGCGCAAGCTCGAGTCGGAGAACATCTACCGCCAGTACCCGGAGGCGCGCGTCGCGCACGCGGCGAACTGGAACACGGACCACCCGGGCTGCCTCGTGTCGGGCTTCCTCCTCGTGAACCGCGTGCCGGGCAATTTCCACGTCATGGCCCACAGCAGGCACCACAGCCTCAACACGCTGCGGACGAACCTGAGCCACACGGTGCACCACCTCAGCTTCGGCGTGCCCCTCACGGACGCGCAGCACCGCAAGCTCGCGACCATCGACGTGCGCCACGCGCGCACGGACACGCTCGACGGCGAGGACTACTACCACGACGACTACCACTACGCCTACCAGCACTTCGTCCACATCGTGCCCACGAAGTACAACCTCGGCGTCTTCTGGCGCGACCGCTTCGCGGCCTTCCAGACGCTCCACAGCCACCACCTCCTCAAGTACGCCGAGCACGTCCCGCCGGAGGCGCGCTTCTCCTACGACATCTCGCCCATGGCCGTCGTCGTCGACACGGTCCGCGTCAAGTGGTACGACTTCCTCACGTCCCTCCTCGCGATCGTCGGCGGCACCTTCGCCCTCTTCAAGCTGGCCAACGACACCGCGGCGCGGCTCTTCTAGGGCGGCCCGCGGCGCGCGGACGTAAGGGGGCCCGGTGCGCGGACGGGCGAGCCCGCGGGGGGGGGTCGCGCGTCGTACGGGGGTCCGACCGCGGGCGCGCGCTTCGTTCAGTCGCGCACTTAAGCTTCGACGGCCCCGCTTCACCCGGTCGGCACCGCGGTCGCGTTGAGGTTGATACTACCAGCGTCAAGGCGCGGCGTAAAAAACGCGCCGACACTGCTGCCCTGGCATTGTAAACGCCCGCCCCCGTCGTCGTGGGCGGGCGGCTCCGCCGGCGGTACCATTGTGCTGGTGCTGCCGGCGGCCACCGGCGCGGCGACCATGGGCGGCGCCGGCGGCGTGAAGACGCGGCTCGTGAAGATCGGCGCCGCCAACGCGGGCCACGCGCCGCACAACCGCCTCGTGACGGCCAAGTTCACCCTGCTCAACTTCCTGCCGCTGGCCCTCTTCGCCCAGTTCCGGCGCGTGGCGAACCTCTACTTTCTGCTCAACGGCATGCTCATGATGTTCGCGGAGGTCACGGGCGCGTTCAACTCTCCCTACACGTCCTACACGACGCTCGGCCCGCTGATGTTCCTCATCACGATCTCGCTCATCAACGACGCGCTGACGGACATCCAGCGCCACCGCGCGGACATGCGCATGGACGCGACGGCCGTCGACGTCGTGAGCCGCGGCGGCGGCCAGCTCCGGCTCGCGAACATCCGCTCGGGCGACGTGCTCCGGTGCTTCCGCGGCGAGGCCGCGCCCGCGGACTTCGTCATGCTCGCGGGCTCGGGCGAGGCGTCGACGGCCTACATCGACACGGCGTCCATCGACGGCGAGACGTCGCTGAAGCTGCGGCGCGCCGCGCCGCTGGGCCTGGCCTGGCAGGCGTGCGGCGACGACGGCGGGTCGTCGGACCCCGCGGCGGCCGCGGCCGCGGCGCTCAACGGCGTCGTGGAGTGCGACCTGCCCAACGAGCACGTCAACGCCTTCACGGGCAACGTCGCCCTCGACGGCGGCGGCGAGACGCTGCCCCTGTCCAAGGAGAACGTGATCCTGCGCGGGTCGACGGTGCACTCCGCGTGGGTCGTCGGCGTCTGCATCTACAGCGGCCGCGAGTCCAAGCTGGCCAAGAACATGCGCGAGGCGCCCATCAAGTTCAGCCAGCTCGACCGCGTGACGAACCGCGCGGTGCTCATCGCGCTGCTCCTCCAGCTCTGCCTCGCGATCATCTCGTCCGGCGCGATGGTCAGCTTCGACCGGCGGATGGAGGACAAGCTCTGGTACACGGGCCAGAAGCAGACCTTCGCGTCCTACCTCGAGGCGCGCTGGCCGGACCTCGAGTGGGAGGAGGACAAGGCGTCCTTCGGCTGGGGGCTCTGCACGTTCTTCATCCTCTACTGCTTCTTCATCCCCATGTCGCTCTACGTGACCTTCGACTTCGCGAAGATCGCCCAGATGCAGTTCATCGACTGGGACGAGGAGATGACCAACGAGGTCGACGGCCAGACCGTCCGCGCGAAGGCGCGGTCGCTCTGCGTCACGGACCTCGGCCAGGTCGAGTACGTCTTCAGCGACAAGACGGGCACGCTGACGCGCAACGAGATGAAGCTCCGGCGCATCATCGTCGACGGCGACCACTTCGGCGTCGGCGACGCGCCGGGCGTCGCGCCGCCGAGCGACTACGGCGAGGCGGCGCCGCCGCAGTCCGTCGACGAGCTCTTCGCCAAGGCCCAGGGCGGCGCGCCGGGCAACGACGCCGCGCGCCTCCTCGAGTCCTTCATGCTCTGCAACACGGTCATCGTCGAGGCCCGGGAGGACGCGGCCGAGGCCCCCGTGTACCAGGCGGAGTCGCCCGACGAGGGCGCGCTCGTCGCCGGCGGCGCGCTCTGCGGCTACACGCTCGAGGCGCGGACCCAGAAGACGCTGACGGGCGTTGTATCGCCGCCGCGGGACCTGCAGGGCACGGCTAAAACCGCGCGGACCTGGGACGTGCTCGCGACGAACGAGTTCGACAACGACCGCAAGCGCATGTCCATCGTGCTCCGCGAGCCCGGCGGCGGCGACGTCGTCTTCCTCTGCAAGGGCGCGGACTCGTCCATGCTCGACGTCGCCGAGCCCGGCTCCCGGGCCGTCTTCGAGACGACGACGGTGCCGCAGATGGACGCGTACGCGAAGACGGGCTTGAGGACGCTCGTCTACAGCGCGCAGGTCTGGAGCGAGGCCCGCTTCTCGGCGTGGTACGAGACGCACTACGCGCCGGCGGCCCGGTCCCTCGTCGGCCGCGAGGAGCAGCTGCGCGCGGCCGCGCACGAGGCGGAGAAGGACCTCGTGCTCGTCGGCGCGACGGCCATCGAGGACCGGCTCCAGGACGGCGTGCCCGAGACCATCGCGCTGATGGCGGCGGCGGACATCAAGCTCTGGGTGCTCACGGGCGACAAGCGCGAGACGGCCATCGAGATCGCGCGGAGCTGCCGCCTCATCACGGACACGATGGCCGTCGACGTGCTCTCCGGCGACGAGGCGCCCGACGCGCTGACCGCGACGCTCTGCCGCCTCTACGCGCGCGAGTTCCCCGGCGGCGGCGGCGGCGAGCGGCGCGACGACGGCCCCCTGGCGCGGCTCGGCCGGGCGACGGGCGGCCTCCGGTCCGCGCTCTTCCCCCCCGGGGACCGCGACGCGGACCGCGACCCGGACGCCGTCGAGCGCGCGGTCTCCGCGCTGCTGGCGAAGCACGGCTTCGCCGGCGGCGCCGGCGTCGAGGTCGAGGCGCCGCGCGCGGGCGCGTCGGCCCTCGTCCTCGACGGCGGCGCGGTCACGGAGCTCTTCTCCGCGGGCTACTGCGTCGAGGTCATGCTCTTCCGGCTCCTGGCAACGTACAAGGCCGTGCTCGCGTGCCGCGTGACGCCCAAGCAGAAGGCCCAGTTCGTCCTCCTCGTCCAGACGCACGTCCCGGGCAAGCCCGTGACGCTCGCGATCGGCGACGGCGCCAACGACGTGAACATGATAATGCAGGCCCAGGTCGGCGTGGGCATCTCGGGCCTCGAGGGCCGCCAGGCCGTGAACGCGTCCGACTTCGCCATCGGCCAGTTCCGCTTCCTCCACCGCCTCCTCTTCATCCACGGCCGCTGGGCCTACCGCCGGTCGTCGGCGCTCATCCTCTTCTCCTTCTACAAGAACGCGGTGTTGGCCTACTGCCTCTTCTTCTACTCCTTCAACACGGGCTTCTCCGGCACGTCCATGTTCCACGAGCACTACACGTCCATGTACAACTTCTACCTCGCGACGCAGATCTTCTGGCTCGCGTGCTTCGACCGCGACGTAGACGAGGCCTACGCGTTGAACCACCCGCGGCTCTACGACTCCGGGCGGCTGAACCTGGACCTGCGCGTGCGCGAGGTCGTGACGTGGCAGTTCAGCGGGCTGCTCCACGCCGTGCTCATCTACTACCTCGTCCAGGAGTCGCTCCAGCTCGGGTCGGGCACGTCGCCGTACGACACGTCCGCGCACATGGTCTTCGGCACCGTGGGCATGGTCTGCATCACCGTGGCCATGAACCTCAAGGTGCTCATGGAGACGCGGACCATCGTCCACCTCCGGTCCGCGATGGTCGCCGAGCCCCGGGGCTGGCTCTCGCCGCTCGGCTTCGTCTGCAGCCACAAGTTCGTCTTCGGCTTCAACCTCGGCTTCTTCTACCTCGCGACGATCATGGCCGCCATGCCCTCCATGTGCGAGACCGTGACCATGGTCGACCAGATGCCCTACTGGGGCGTCGGCGAGGAGACGCTCTACCAGGGGCCGCCGTGGCTCACGATCCTCCTCGTTCTCGGCACGTGGCTCGTCGTCGACTGGCTCCACCGCGCGCTGCGCTGGGAGTTCGGCTCCGACGCCGTCTCCCTCCTCGTCGAGCGGTGCCACCTCGAGCGCTGGGCCCGCAACCCGCAGGAGGCGCCCTGGGGCGCGGACCTCATCCACCTCCGCAAGGACTCCAAGATCGCGCCGGCGTGAGCGCCGGCCCGAGGCTCGACGGCAAGGAGTGATTACAGGTGGGGCTGCCGTGGGGCAGGGGCGCCCGGGGGAGGGGAGGGGGGGCGTTTGGTACAGGCGAACTCTACGCGGCGTCGAACTCCGCGGCCGCGGCGTCGCGCTTCTGCTGCTCGATGACGGCCTTGTAGTCCGTGGGCATGACGCGGACGAAGGCGCCGACGTGGGCGTCCCAGTCGCCGAGGAGCTCTTTGGCGACGTCGCTGTCCGTGTGGTCGAGGTGCTTCTGGACGAAGCCGCGGAGCTCCGCGGCCTCGTCGGCGTCGTCGACGGGCCCGAGTTCGACCATGCCCATGTTGCACTTGTCCGGGAAGGCGCCGTGGGGGTCGTAGACGTAGGCGACGCCGCCGGACATGCCCGCGGCGAAGTTGCGGCCCGTCGCGCCGAGGACGACGACGCGGCCGCCGGTCATGTACTCGCAGCCGTGGTCGCCGAGGCCCTCGTTGATGGCGAGGACGCCGCTGTTGCGGACGCAGAAGCGCTCGCCGGCGACGCCCCGGAAGTAGGCCTCGCCGGCCGTCGCGCCGTAGCACGCGACGTTGCCGACGATGACGTTCTCCGCGGGCACGAAGGCCGGGTCGAGAAGCTGGTCCTCGGGGGGCCGCACGACGATCTTGCCCCCCGACAGGCCCTTGCCGCAGCCGTCGTTGGCGTCGCCGAGGACCTCGATGGTGACGCCCGGCGCGAGCGTGAAGCCGAGGCTCTGGCCGCTCGACCCGCTGAGGCGGATCGTCACGGCCCCGTCGGGCAAACCGGACTTGCCGCAGGCCTTGGACACGGCGGAGCTCAGCATGGTGCCGAGCGTGCGGTCCAAATTCGTCGTCTCGTGGTCGACGACGACGGGCGCGTGGTCGCCGCCGGCCGCGTACGCGTCGATGAGACTCCGCGCGGCGGCGATGAGCTCGTTGTCGATCTTCGCGTCGAGCTCGTGGTCCTGGGTCGCCGCGTGGAGGTGGCCCGCCGTCGGGTTGAGCTCCGACGCCGGCTGGAGCAGGGGCGCGAGGTCCAGACCCGCCGTCTTGTCCGGCCGGCCGTTCTTCCGGAGCTTAATGGGGTCGACCTCGAGCACGTCGCCCGCGGCGCCGATGAGGTCGTCCATGGACGTCATGCCCAACGACGCCAACGTCGCGCGCATCTCCTCGGCCAACAGGAAGAAGAAGTTGATGACGTGCTCCGGCTGGCCGTCGAATTTCGCGCGGAGCTCGGGGTCCTGCGTCGCGATGCCGACGGGGCACGTGTTGAGGTGGCACTTGCGCATCATGATGCAGCCCAGGGCGATGAGCGGCCCCGTGGAGAAGGCGTACTCCTCGGCGCCGAGCGCCGCGGCGACGCAGACGTCGCGCGCGGTCTTGAGCTGGCCGTCGGTCTGGAGCCGGATGCGGTCCCGCAAGTCGTTGAGCACGAGCGTCTGCTGCGCCTCGGCGATGCCGAGCTCCCAGGGCAGGCCCGCGCACTTGATGCCCGTCCAGGCCGCCGCGCCCGTGCCGCCGTCGCCGCCGGAGATGACGATGTGGTCCGCCTTGGCCTTGGCGACGCCCGCGGCGATGACGCCGACGCCGACCTCGGACACGAGCTTCACGGACACGTCGCCCTCGGGGTTGGCGCACTTGAGGTCGTGGATGAGCTGGGCCAGATCCTCGATGGAGTAGATGTCGTGGTGCGGCGGCGGCGAGATGAGGCCGACGCCGGGCGTCGTGCCGCGGCACTCCGCGATGTAGTCCGAGACCTTGTAGCCCGGGAGCTCGCCGCCCTCGCCGGGCTTGGCGCCCTGGGCCATCTTGATCTGGATCTGGTCGCTGTTGGCGAGGTAGTGGGACGTGACGCCGAAGCGGCCCGACGCGACCTGCTTGATCGACGACCGGCGGTTGTCGCCGAAGCGCACGGGGTCCTCGCCGCCCTCGCCCGTGTTCGACTTGCCGCCCAAATGGTTCATGGCGACGGCCAAAGCCTCGTGGGTCTCGCGGGAGATGGACCCGAGGGACATGGCGCCCGTGACGAAGCGCTTGACGATGTCCTTCGCGGGCTCGACGTCGTCGATTTTGACGTTCTTGGCCAGGCCGGCCTTGAGCGCGGCGGGCTTCCAGCGGAGGATGCCCCGGAGCGTCGACTTGTCGTTCTGCGCGTCGACCTCGGCGGAGTAGCGCTTGAAGGCCTCGCGCGAGTCGCCGCGCGCCGCGGCCTGGAGGTGGACCATGCCCGCGGGCGTGTTGAGGTGCGTCTCGCCGCCGTCGCGGTAGTGGAACTGGCCCGGGTTGGGGAGCTGGGGCACCTTGTCGTGGTTCACCTGGAAGGTCGTCTGGGCCGCGCCCCAGGCGTGGTTGTGGTTCGTGACGACGTCGCGCTGCAGCGCGTCGAACGACGCGCCGCCGATGCGGCTCGGCGTGCCCGAGAAGCACGTGTCGACGACGTCCGCGTGGAGGCCCACGGCCTCGAAGATCTGGGCGCCCTTGTAGGACTGGAGCGTGCTAATGCCCATCTTCGACATGACCTTGAGCAGGCCCTTGGCCAAGGCCTTGCGGTACGCGTAGTGGAGCTCGTCGTCCGTCGGCAGGTCGTCGGGCTTGGCGATCTCGTTGCGCATGCGCGCGGCGATCAAACCGTCGGACTTGAGCTTGCTGAGGGCCTGGTAGGCGACGCGCGGGCAGACGCCGTCCGCGCCGAAGCCGACGGCGAGCGCGACGTCGTGCACCTCCTTCGCGTCGCCGCAGTCGAGGAAGAGCGCGGCCTTGCCGCGCTGGCCCGTCTTCAGGAGGTGCTGGTGCACGGCGCCGACGGCGAGGAGCGACGGGATGGGCAACCGGCCCGGGCCCGCCATGACGTCCGAGAGCACGAGGATCGCCGCGCCGTCCTCGCCGAACGCGCCTTGGACCGCGAGCGACGCCTGCGTGCACAGGTCCTCCAGCGCCTGCTGCAGGCCCGTGGCGCCCGCGCCGGCGTAGGTCGGGTCGAGGGGCGCCAGGTCTGCGCCCGCGCGGTCGAAGGTCATGTCGAGCGTCTTCGCCGCCCAGCCCGAGTCGCGCGCGGACTGGGACGTCAGCGCCGCGAGCTCCTGGGGCGTGAGCACGGGGTGGTCCACAACTAGCCGCGCGCAGTTCTCCGCCGTCGGGTCCAGCAGGTTCGACTCGGGCCCCACGGGGCAAACCAACGACATGACCAGCTCCTCGCGGATCGGGTCGATGGGCGGGTTCGTGACCTGCGCGAAGAGCTGCTTGAAGTAGTCGCTCGGCGGCCGCGGCTCGGAAGACAGCACGGCGAGCGCCGCGTCGTTGCCCATGGACCCGAAGCCCTCCTTGCCGCCGATGGCCATGGGCGCCAAGAGCGTCTCCATCGTCTCGGTGGTGTAGCCGTGCATGACGAGGCTCCGCGCGACGTTCGCGTCGTCGAGCTCCGCGCGCGGCGGCGCCGTCGCCGCGGCCCAGTCGGAGAGGAAGACGCGCCGCTGCTCGAGCCACTCGCCGTAGGGCTTGGCCGCGGCGACGGCCTCCTTGATCTCGTCGTCGGGCACGACGCGGCCCGCTTCCAAATCGAGCAAAAACATCTTGCCCGGCTCGAGGCGGCTCTTCGTCTTGACGTCCTTGGGCTTCAGCCAGGGGATCACCCCAACCTCGGACGATACTAAAACGCGGTCGTCGTTGGTCACGTAGTAGCGCGCGGGCCGGAGGCCGTTGCGGTCCAGCGTCGCGCCGACCCACTTGTTGCTGTCGGTGAACGCGATGAGCGCGGGCCCGTCCCAGGGCTCCATCAAGCACGAGTTGTACTCGTAGAAGGCCTTCTTCGCGTCGCTCAGGGAGTCGTTATCCTGCCAGGCCTCGGGGACCATCATCATGGCGACCTCGGGCAGCGTCCGCTCCGACGCCGTCGTCAATAATTGGAGCACGCCGTCGAAGTTGCCGCTGTCGGACATCTCGTCGGACGTCACGGGCAGGAGCTGGTTCGTGTCGTCGCCGTAGGCCGGGGACCGCAGCAGGCCCGCGCGCGCGCGCATCCAGTTCTTGTTGCCGCGGAGCGTGTTGATCTCGCCGTTGTGGCACATCATGCGCAGCGGCTGCGCGCGGGACCACGACGGGAACGTGTTCGTCGAGAAGCGGCTGTGGACGAGGGCGAGGTGCGTGAGGAAGTCGTCGTGGCCGAGGTCCGCGCCGAAGTACGGCAACACCTGCTCGGGCGTGAGCTGGCCCTTGTACGTGATCTGGTACGGGCTGAGGCTGTTGATGTACAAGACCGCGTCCTCGCCGACGCCCTGCTCCTGCATCGTCGCGAAGGCCTCGAGCTGGGCCACGGACTGGGCGCGGTAGAGCTCGCGGGCGAACTTGCCGCCGTCCCAGGCCTCGGGCTTGGCGAGGAAGAGCTGCTCGACGCGCGGCTCCGACGCCAGCGGCGCCTCGCCGAGGTCCGAGTTGTCCGTCGGCACGACGCGCCACCCCAGGACCGACATGCCCCGCTGGCGGCTCACGCGCTCCAGGGACCGCCGCGCCGCCGCGGCGTTGGCCTCGTCCTGGGGCAGGAAGCACATGCCGACGGCGTAGTCGCCGAGCGCCGGCAGCTCCCACGCGCACTCCTGCCGCAGGAACGAGTCGGGCATGGCGACGAGCATGCCCGCGCCGTCGCCGGACTGGGGGTCGCAGCCACAGCCCCCGCGGTGGCTCATGCGCACGAGCATCTCGTTGCAGTCCACGAGCGTCCGCCGCGTCGGCTCCTTCTTCAGCGACGCGACGAGACCGACGCCGCACGCGTCGCGCTCGAAGTCGGGGTCGTAGAGGCCCTGGCGGCCGGGCGCCCGGCCCGACGCGCCCACGGACGCCAGGGCCCGCGCCCAGCCGCGCACCGTCGTGCGGGAGGAGCGAATGTTGCGCAACATAGTTCCACGGGCAGTTGTTCACGTCGCGCGCGCGCGTGCGGCCGCGGGCGACTTTGCTCTTTTCAGAGCTACCTGTGGGGTCTCACAGGTGCCCGCAAACGCGGTCTTGTGTCGCACAACCCGCTTCGCGCGCGGAAGCTGGTGACAGGTTGCGAGGTCAAGTGATATTGCAATCCAGGACAAGCACAACCGAACTGGCTTGCGCCACGAAATTCGCGAGGTTGTCGCGTCGAACGCCTCATCAAGTTGCCTTGCACGGTGATGAAAGCCGACCTCACAGGGCCGCACCCTGGCCCAGGGCCGCGGGAGCCAGCCCGAACCGCAACGCGTGGCTTGGATGAGAAAAAGCAGCTGCAGGAGACTCGTGTGCGGCCGCGTGGGGCGCGCGCGAACTCCGCGGCGCGCGCGGCCACCGAATTTGCCGGGGTCGTTGGTCACGGGCAAAGATGACACGACTGGGCGTTCCGCGATGAGGGTGCGTCGCGTATATAGGGCTACGACGTCGAGCGGACGGCGGCGCGTGAGGAGAGCGCCGAGGTCAACTAGGCTTCAACGCAGCGCTGGGCTGGACTCAGGCGATGGCCGCGAAGACCGCGGCGGCGGCCGCCTGGTTCGCGCTCGCGCTGCTCGCCGGGACCTGCAGTCCCTTCACCATGCCGCGCCACGGCCACCGCCGACACCAGCGCCGCGGCGCCGCCGTCGGCGAGCAGGAGGTGGAACAGAAGCCCATCGTGCGCACGGCGGCCGGCGCGCTGCAGGTCGGCCGGAGCGAGATCCAGACGCTGGTCTTCGAGGGCGACTACGTGGTCCACTACGAGCGCGGCGTCTGCCAGTACGCCGGCCGCCTGCAGGAGCGCGACGACGACGACGGCGACGGCGGCGGCGACGGCGAGCTGCCGATTTTGCTGCGCTTCGCGGATCGCACGGTGGCCCTGGAGCACCGCGAGGCGTCGCGGCTCACGCGGCTCCGGGGCTCCGACGAGACCGTGGCCGTGCGGTCGTCGGAGCTCTTCCAGCCCGCGGACGGGCCCGCGGCGGCGGCGCCGCCGCCGAGCCTCGGCAGCGAGAACGTCGGCGGCTCGCCGTCGACGTCGGGCCCGCGGCTCAGCAAGTGGTCGAAGCCCGAGGTCTGGCGGGGCAAGCGGGACCGCGCCGAGGCCGCGAGCCGGGACCACGCGCGCGACCTGCTCACGCTCGCGGCCGCGCGGTCGTCGCGGAGCCGCGACGCGTGCGCGCCCTTCGACGACGAGGCCGCGGCGCTCCTCGAGGCGGGCCTCGGCTACGAGCTCACGGCGGGCCAGCGCCAGTGCTGGGAGGACGTCGAGGAGGACATGTGCCGGCGCCTCGCGCCCATGGACCGCTTGGTCTTCGGCGACGTCGGCTTCCGCGCGGACATCGACCGCCGGTTCGGGACGTCGCGACCAAACTTCGGAAGTCGATTCGGCTGATTTTTGGACGACTCGATCGCTCTCGTCGAGTTCTCGAAGCTCGCGTCGACACCGTCGCATACACTCACATTGAAGTCGGGTTGAAGATTTTTCGCGCAGGTCGGCTTCGGGAAGACGGAGCTCGCGGTCCGCGCGGCCGCGCTCGCGGTCAAGAGCGGGCGCCAGGTCGCCATCCTCGCGCCGACGACCGTGCTCGCCCAGCAGCACTACAAGGTCTTCCGGCGGCGCCTGGAGCCCCTGGGCATCACCGTCGAGTTCCTGCGGTCGCCGAGCCGCAAGTACGTCGACGAGGCCACGGGCAAAAAAGCGTCGTCGGCCAAGGAGTGCCGCCGCGTGCGCGAGCAGGTCGCCTCGGGCCGGTGCGGCGTCTGCGTCGGCACGCACGCGCTCCTGTCGCCGAAGCAGGTCTGGCACACGCTGGGCCTCGCCGTCATCGACGAGGAGCAGCGGTTCGGGGTCCGGCAGAAGGAGCGGCTGAAAGCCGCGTGCGTCGACGTCGACGTGCTCACGCTGTCGGCGACGCCCATCCCGCGGACCCTGGGCGCGGCGCTCGCGGGTTTGCGGGACACGTCGGAGCTGCCGGACCCGCCGCCGGGCCGCGGCGAGACGAGCTCCCTCGTCGCGCGCGACCAGCCGGGCCGCAAGGAGGACGACTACTTCCTCACGGCGATCCTGGAGAAGGAGCTCGCGCGGGGCGGCCAGTGCTTCTACGTCGTGCCGCGCATCGCCGACGTGCCCGCGGCGCGGCGCCGGCTGCTGGGCGCGCTCAGGGCCATCGGCCACCCGGCGGCCGCGCGCGTCGACGCGCCCGGCGAGCCGGACGACGACGACGACGCGGAGGACCCGAGCGGCGGTGCCATCGCCGTCGCCCACGGCCGCGTCGACGACCCGGCGGCCGTCGTCGCCGACTTCGCCGCGGGCGACAACGAGACGCGGCCCGTGCTGCTGGCGACGACGCTCGTCGAGAACTGCGTGGAACTCAAATCTTCAATCCGACTTCGATGTGCGCGTAATCGAAGAATTTGGACCAGAATCTTTCGCTCTGCTTCGAGAACTCGACGAGAGCGATCGATTCGTCCAAAAATCAGCCGAATCGACTTCGATGTGGCCGAGCGAGAGAATTTCACAGTTTGGTCGGGACGTCCCAAACCAGCGGTTGATTTCCACACAGGTCGAGAACGGCCTCGACCTGCCGCGGTGCAACACGATCGTCATCCAGGACGCGCACCGCTTCGGCCTCGCGTCGCTGCACCAGCTCCGGGGCCGCGTCGGCCGCGGCGAGCGCAAGGCGTTGGCCGTCTTCCTCTACCCGCGCGACGGCGCGACGACGGACGCGGCGGCCGCGCGGCTCCGCGCGGTCGCGGACGTCGACGCGAAATCGGGGCCCGAGCTCGCGCGCCGCGACCTGGAGATCCGCGGCGCCGGCGCGCTGCTGGGCACGCGCCAGAGCGGCCGCGCGTCGCGCGACGTCGGCGACGAGATGTACGCGAAGCTCCTCGTCGAGGAGCTCGAGCGGTTGAGGGCCTTGGACGTGCGGCCCGCGGACCGCGGCTGCGACGCGTCGCACCTGCCCGCGGCCGCGCTCCTGGAGCAACGCGCCGCCGGCGACGCGGACGCCGAGGCCGCGCTGGCCCGCGTCCGCGGCGCGCCGACGCTGGAGGCGTGCCAGCGCGCCGCGCGCGCCGCCAAGGCCGCGCTCGGGCCCGACGCGGCGAAGCTCGCGGTCAAGCTCCGCTTCCTCGAGCTCCACGGCGCGCGCCTCGGCTTCGAGAGCGCCGCGCTCGAGGCGCGCGCCTACAACGACCTCACGACGCCCCACGGCCTGCTCCGCGCGCCGCGGCTGAACCCGAAGACGTGGACGCTCCTCCGCCGCGAGGTGCCCGAGGGGTCGCGGTCGAGCCTCCGCTTCGACGAGACGACGGCGACCGTCGAGGTCGTCCGCCTCGGCGCGCTCAAGCCCGCGCAGCAGGTCGACTTCCTCCTCGAGGCCGTCCTCCACATGGCCGGCTTCCTCGACCGCGTCGCCCAGGTCCACGCGACGGACGCCGCGGGCGAAAAAAAAGCGGACGAGGCCGCCGAGGCGCCCGCGGCCGTCGCGAGGTAACATCGCTTATTTAGGACGCCACCGCGTGCGCCGCGCGTTCGCGCGGCCGCGGCCACCGGACATCTCCGCGAGCGCGAGCGCAGTCCGGATAGGCGTCGCGGACGAGCATGTCGCCGCGGGCGACGGTTCGGCGGCGGTCTCGCGAGGCGCCTTCAGTGCCAAAAACAAACCCTTGAAACGAAAGGCCTGGGGTTTTGTATCTTGAAGTTCAGCTTGGTTAGTTGCCAAGTTCAACATACAAGTTGAAGTTACTAGTAGGGGGTCGTAAACCGCTCGAAAGTGGCCCCCCCCGGGGTCCTTTCGCCGAGGCTGGCGTTGTGAGTGGGTAGCGTCGTACATTTTGAGACACTCGGGCGTGAGGATCGTTGTTCGCGAAAAATTGACTTTCAACCCGCACTGACCAGCTCCTTGCATGTTTTCTTCTCCCCCGGAGCTAAGCTTGCTCCAGTTAGCTCCGCGAGAGTACTGCAGAGCATAAAGCTCAGGGTCCAAGAAGCGCAGAATGCCATACCAGACATCGTTTCGGTAGTCCTCGTGAGTACCGCCGTAAGCGAAATACTCCGGCAGGGTACGAGCACGCCGATAATGCTTGTAGCGAGTGTGAGCACGGACGCGACGAGAGGCGCCAGGCATGACGTAAACCTCAGCGTTCGCCTCAAGCAACTCATCAAGTTCGATGCAACCTGGTTGCACAGAGTTAAGATGATTGACAAGAGTTCGAGTGTTTGAGAGTTCATTGTTTGAACAAAGGCTGGAGATGTTAAAGAGTACTCCTTCAAAATCTTCTAGCCGCGCTACTGCCTTAGAGTGAAGACTAAAAGTCTGTTGACAAATGTTCTGAAGCTCAGATTGAGAGGGGCTCTCATCGAAACTGGGGAGTTTAAGTTCTCCTCCAGTGTAACAACCCACGTTGTAGGTGCACGTTGCTTGAGTAAGGGAAACATCCGCGCGGTCAGGACGTTAAGAATCAAGTATGGGGGCTTTGTGGCGGGAGACTGGCCTAAGGTAACTCATATATAACTAACTTAGCTTGAAGTTGGCAGCGCAGTGGTCTTGTATCTACAACCTGGCTTTAAGACAGTCACAGCGAGCGACGAAGGATACATATCTGGATTTCTATGACGTCGCTCCTTTTCTTTCTTACTCACTTAACTCCAGCGATTGAGGACAGAGAGCCCGATCGCAGATTAGGCTGCCTACTTGAGTAGGGAGTCTACTAACTAGATTTTACCATACCCTAGCCAAGAGTCAGGCTGAGGGCAAGTTACCTCCATAGTGCCCTCAACACGTACCCAAAAGTGTCTTACAGAGCTCCAAGCGCATTGTAGCAGCCCGACGAGCATTCTCGCACGTAAAGCACCCGCCGCGTCCGTCCCCGCGCCCGCGGCCGAGCGCGTCCGCGCGGCCGCGATTGTTCCCCTCGTGTATTTCGTGGGGCGTGTTCGCACCATCGTCATATTGTCGATCCCTCAGGTCAAAAGCTTCGAACATCATGGTGCAGGGCAGCCTCGAGATCACCCTGAAAAAGCCGGCGGCCGACGCCAAGGTCGGCGTCTCCCTGGTCGGCAGCCCGCCGCTCGTTCACCAGATCCGCGCCGGCGGCCTCGGCGCGGCCGCGGGGCTGCGCCTCCGCGACCGCGTCGTGAGCGTCAACGGACTGCCGGTCTCGGGCCAAGAGGACGCGGCGGCCGCGCTCGCCGCGGCGCCGGCGGGTGCGCTCGTCGTGGTCGTCGAGCGCCTGCAGGTCGCGAATCCCCCCGGCACTCCCCCCGGCGGCGCGATGATCGAGGTGGCGTACTGCGGCGTCGTCACGTGGATCATCGGAATCCTCCTCTGCCCGTGCGTGTGCGGCTGCCCGTGCGACAAGATGACCGTCTACCGCGCCCCCGACGGCACGCTCTACAACATGCAAGGCGCGGCGACCAACCCCGCCTGCATGAAGATGTAAAGCGCCCAGGCTCGCCACGGAGCCCCCGACGCGTCGCCCGCGCGCGCGAGCGCTCGCCGGCCGCGCGCTCCCGACGCGGCGCCGCGGGCCCGGTCGCGACGCGCGGACTAAGAATTGCACGCGTATGTGGGGTGTATGCGCGAGGGGAGGGCCACTGCCCCGCGCGCGTCGAAGATGGCCGTGTTCGTGTCGCCCCGGGCATCGCCGCGCCGCGCCCAGCAAACCCAAGAACTTTCAAACCGGCCGACGACGACGCGCTCATGACCGAGGCGGAGGTCGACGAACGCGTCGAGCGCACGCGGCGCGCCGTCGGCGACCTCGACCACGACGCCGTCGCGTCCATCCTCGACCTCGCGGACTCGAGTCGGACGCGGTCCGTCACGCGGACCCGCCGGCGGTGGCGTCGGCTCGCTGGCGCCATGCGCACGGCTTACTTGATCTTTTATGTTCAAACAAACTAGGGCCCGGCATTACGCTTCCTCGACCGGTGCGACCCGGTTTTCCCTTTCGCTCTCCTTGACGAGCAACATCCATTCAACATGCACTTTCCAGCAGAAGTCGAGTCGATGATCGGCTCAAGCCGTCGCGCGTGAGCGAGACCCTGTCTGCCAGCCGCACACCCGTCGCTCAAGCCGTCGCGCGTGAACGCGACAACCTGTCCGCCCGCCGCACACCCGTCGCATCGCCACGCAGTACCGCGCCGCGCAAAACAAATGAAGATCCTCGTCTTGCACGCGCTGGTCCTGTCGTGCGCCGCGTTGAGGCCGCAGCAGCCGACGATGCAGTCGACGCGGCGGGCCATCCTCGGCGGCGTCGCCGCGATGCTCCCGTTCCAGCCCGTCTTCGCCGGCGACGAGGTCGACGAGGAGATGCTCGAGAAGATGCAGGCCGCGCGGGAGAACTGGAAGAAGAACTCGGTGCGCCGGGGCTTCGCCTTCGAGCCGAGCGCGTCCATGCCCTTCGTCAAGGCGGACACGGTCGGCGCGCCCGCGCGCGACCGCGCCGACGCCGCCGCGGCCAAGGCGGACGCCGCGGCGCCGCCGGCCGCGGCGCCCGCGGGCGCGCCCTAAAAAAACTCCGAGCCGTCTTAGAGCTGGAGGCCGAGGGACTCGTCGAGGCCGAGCATGATGTTGAGGTTCTGGACCGCGGCGCCCGACGCGCCCTTGCCGAGGTTGTCGAGGCGCGCGACGAGGACCATCGTGCCCTTGGCGTCGTTACCGAAGACGAAGAGCTCGAGGCCGTTGCTGCCGTTGAGCGCCGTGGGCTCGAGGAACGCGCCGCGGGCGAGGAGGTCCGCGTCGACGGCGCCCGCCAGCCCGAAGGGCATGACCGTGACAAAGGTCGACCCGGCGTAGTGCGCCTCGAGCGCCGCGTGGACGGCCTCCGCGGACGTCGTCGTCAGGTCCGCGTGGTACACCGGCACGGAGACGACCTACCACATGCGTCGGTCACGATGTTTCATCCTTTTCCTGGTCAAAACCTCTCGAAAATCGTCGCGGATGCGGGACGCCGGAGGCGACCATGCCCTGCTTGAAGTTCCCAACCGCGGGCAGAAAGATGGGCGGCGCGTCGAGCTTGCCGTGGAAGGCCATCTCCGGCAGGTGCTTGTGGTCGAGGTTGAAGCCGTAGGCGCCCCAGGGCTCGTGGTCGTCCGACTCGTAGATCTCCGCGAGCTGCTTGCCGCCGCCGCTGTAGCCGGAGACGGCGCTGCAGGCGAGGCGCGCCGCCGGTTTGAGGAGGCCGGCGTCGACCAAGGGCCGCGTCAGCGCGATGAAGCCCGTCGGGTAGCACCCGGGGTTCGCGCAGCGGCACGACGCGGCGATGCGGCCGCGCTGCGCCGCGTCGAGCTCGGGGAAGCCGTACTCCCAGGCCGGGTCCGTGCGGTGCGCGGTGGAGGCGTCGACGATCTTGACGTCGTTGCCGTCGTCGACGAGCGACACGGCCTCGACGGCCGCGTCGTCGGGCAGGCAGAGCACGACGGCGTCCGCGCCGTTGATCGCCGCCTTGCGCGCGGCCGCGTCCTTGCGCGCGGCCGGGTCGATGGACACGATCTCGATCCCCGGGTGCGTGCTCAGGCGGTCGAGCACCTGGAGGCCCGTCGTGCCGGCCTCGCCGTCGATGAAGACCTTCTTCTTGGCGCGCAGCGCCGAGTGGCGCGTGGCTGCGCGAGGCGGCGCGACGAGCGCGGTTGCTACGGCGGCTAACGATAGGAAACTGCGCATTGCTGTGAGCTACACCGTCGCGACGGCTGCGCAGGATTCTCAGTGTCAACCTCGATGGCAGCGGCGAGGCACCCTGTTTTGCGGTTTTTGCGGGAGCCGCCGGAATCTTTGGAGAGCAGTTCACCCTTGACGGCACTGTCGCGGTTGCAGTTCTCGCAGCAACGAGCGTCGCGGCGCGACGCGTGCGCGGCAGTCGGAGGTGCGCATTGTGCTCAAGAGATCGCTCGGCTTCTCGGACAAGCGCAAAACAGCGCAAAAAAACTGCGCAAAGCCGGCGCAACCAGTCGGAGGTGCGCATTGTGCTCAAGAGATCGCACGGTAGCTCGGACAAGCTCAAACAGCGCGAAAAACTGGGCAAAGACCAACCAGCATGAAGCGCCTCTTCATCGCAAATCGCGGCGAGATAGCGGCGCGCATCGCACGCACCGCGCGCGACCGCGCGCTGCCGTCCGTCGTCGCCGTGGCGCCCGAGGACGAGCAACTCGTCGCGCAGTACCACTGCGACGCCACCGCGCCGCTGCGGAGCGCGGCGTCGTACGCGGACAGCGACGAGCTCATCGCCGCGGCGCTGCGCGAGGGCTGCGACGCGGTGCACCCGGGCTACGGCTTCCTCTCCGAGGACGCGGCCTTCAGCCGGAACGTGCGCGACGCGGGCCTGACCTTCGTCGGTGCACCGACGGCCGCGCTCGAGGTCTTCGGCGACAAGATCGCCGCCCGCCGGCTCGCGGTCGACGCGGGCGTGCCCGTCGCGCGCGGCGCCGTCGTCGGCGGCGCGGCGGAGCTCGAGGCCTTTCTCAAGGATGGGATCGGCGCGGGCGTGCTCAAGGCGCGCGCCGGCGGCGGCGGCCGGGGCATCCGCCGCGTGTCGCTCGCCGGCGACTTGGCGGCCGACTTCGAGCGCTGCGCGTCCGAGGCGTCGCGGTCCTTCGGCGGCGCGGAGGAGGGGCTGCTCGTCGAGGACCACGTGTGGTCCGCGCGCCACGTCGAGGTGCAGGTCGCCGCCGACAGCTGCGGCGCCGTCGCGACGCTCTTCGACCGCGAGTGCTCGTTGCAGCGGCGGCACCAGAAGCTGATCGAGGTCGCGCCCGCGCCGTTCCTCGACGACACGCTCAGACGGTTGATAGCGGAAGCGGCCAAGGCGCTCGCGGCGAGCTCGGGCTTACAGGGCCTCGGCACCTTCGAGTTCCTGATCAACGGAGACCGCTTCTACTTTATGGAGTGCAACCCGCGCTTGCAGGTCGAGCACACCGTGACCGAGGAAATCGCGGGCGTCGATCTCGTCGCGGTCCAGCTCGCGCTCGACGCGCTCCGGAGCCGCGCGGCGGCGCCGCGGGGCTTTTCCGTGCAGGCGCGGGTGTTGGCGGAGAAGAGCGGCAAGCCGAGCTGCGAGCCCGCGCGCAAGTTCAATCCGCCGACGAACGGCGTCCGCGTCGAGACGGCGCTCGCCGAGGGTCTGGGCACGCACCCGAGCTTCGACTCGCTCGTCGCCAAGGTCATCGTGAACGCGCCGACCTACGAGCGCGCGCTGGACAAGGCGCGGCGCGCCGTCGACGACTTCGGCATCGAGGGGCCCTCGACGAATCTACGGTTCCTGTCGGAGCTGCTGTCGCGCCCCGAGGTCCTCGACGCGACGGCGACGACGACCTTCGTCGACGACGCGTTTCCCGACGACGAGGCGGCGGCGCTCGGCGACGACGGTGACGGCGCGCTGCGCTCGCCCACGGCGGGCACGGTCGTCTCCGTCGCGGCCGTCGGCGAGATCGCCCGCGGCAAGCCCGTCGTGGTTATCGAGGCGATGAAGATGGAACACGTCCTCGCGGCGCCCGCGGACGGCGAGGTCGTCGCCGTGCGCTGCGCCGTCGGCGACGTCGTCTCGGAGGGGTCCGTGCTCGCCGAGGTCGCCATCGCCGCGGGCGCCGAGGCCGCGGCCGCCGAGGCCGCGGAAACTGTCGACCTCGACGCGCCGCGGCCGGACCTCGCGGCGCTGCGCGCCCGCCTCGCGCTTTTAGACGATGCCGCGCGGCCCGAGGCCGTCGCGCGGCGGAGGAAACGCGGCCAGCTGACGGCGCGCGAGCACGTCGCCGCGTTGTGCGGCGAATCGTTCAAAGAACTCGGCGGCCTCGCGGTCGCCGCCCAGCGCCGCACGCGCAGCGAGGAGGAACTGGCCGCGAAGACGCCCGCCGACGGCGTGCTCACGGGCGTCGGCATGGTCGGCGCCGCGCCCGCCGTCGTCGTCGCCGTCGACGCGACGGTCCTCGCCGGTACCCAGGGATTCTTCCACCACCACAAGCTCGATCGCGCGGTGCAGGTGGCGGCGAAGCGGCGGCTGCCCATCATCGCGTTGCCGGAGGGCGGCGGCGGCCGGCCGAACGACGGCGACGTCGAGGGCCTGATGGCGGCCGGGCTATTTATTTCCACGTGGCACGCGTACGCGGCGCTCGCGGGCGTCGTGCCCCGCGTCGCCGTCGTCTCGGGCTACTGCTTCGCCGGTTCGGCCGCAATTGCGGGCTGCAGCGACGTCGTGATCGCGACCGAGACCTCCTCGCTCGGCATGGGCGGCCCCGCGATGATCGAGGGCGGCGGCCTGGGCCGCGTCAAGCCCGAGGACGTCGGCCCCGCGCCGGCGCTCGCCGAGCGAGGGGTCGTCGACGTCGTCGCGGCCGACGACGCCGCGGCGTTGGACGCGGCGAAGCGCTACCTCTCGTACTTCGCGGCGCCGGTCGCGCCGCCGGCGCCCGCGGGCGGCGACCAGCGCCTGCTTCGACAGCTCGTCCCGGAGAACCGGAAGCGGGCCTACGACATGCGCGCGATCCTCGACGTCGTCTGCGACGAGGGGTCCGTCTTCGAGCTCCGGGACCGCTTCGGCCGCTCGGTGATCACGGCCCTGGCCCGCGTCGACGGTCGCGCCGTCGGCATCCTCGCGTCCGACCCGGCGCGGAACGGCGGCGCGGTCGACGCGGACGCCGCGGACAAGGCCGCGCGCTTCCTGCGCCTCTGCGACGCGTTCGGGCTGCCCGTGGTGTCGCTTTTGGACTGCCCGGGCTTCATGGTCGGGCCGGACGCGGAGCGGGACGGCATGGTGCGGAAAGCCTCTCGGTTATTCCTCGCCGGCGCGAAGCTCTCCGTGCCCGTCGTCGCCGTCGTCGTCAGAAAAGCCGTGGGCCTGGGGGCCATGGCGCTTTGCGGCGGGAGCACGAAAGTTCCGGTGGACACCCTCGCGTTTCCGACGGCGGAGATCGGCGCCATGGGCGTCGAAGGAGCAGTCAATCTTGGCTTCAAGGCGAAGCTCGACGCCGTCGACGGCGACGAGCGCGCCGCCTTGTTCGACAAGCTCTGCGCCGCGGTGCACGCGCGCGGCGCCGCGACGACCGCCGCGTCGCAGCTCGAGGTCGACGACGTCGTCGACCCGGCGGAGACGCGGGACCGGATCGTCGCGGCGCTCGCGGGCTACGAGCCGCCGCCGCCGAAGGACGGGGGTTTGGACGCTTGGTAATGACTTAGAGACTACATCTTGAAGAAGTCCTTGTCCTTCCTTGACGGCAATTTGCCTTTGCCAAACTTGGGTCCGCAGAGGTGGCAGCGTGCTGAGGCGGCTTCGACGCAGCTTCTCACAAACGGCACCTTTACTGCTCGATGCCTTCGAATTCGGAGAGCGACGATGTGCCTCGCGCGGCTCTCGCGCCGTCGTGGACCTCGGTAGGGCACGACCGCGCGATCGTGGACAGCATTTGAAGACGTACAACGATGGTCCTCTTACGAGGCATGCGCCCGACCCGCAGCGCGACGACGACGAAGGACGCGCCGGCCGACAAAGCGACAGCGTCGGACCCTCCCTGCGCCGTCTGCGGCCAACACGCCGGGCGCTACGCCTGCCCGCGCTGCGACGTGCGCTACTGCTCGCTGGCCTGCTTCGGGAAGCACGGCGAGTGCTCGGAGCGGTTCTACGCGCAGCGCGTGCGGCGCGCGCTCGCCGAGGAGCCCGGCCGCGGCCGCGCGCGGTGCGTCGGCGACCTCCTGTCGAAAGGCGAGGACGACGACGACGCGCGCGCGGCGCCGAGCGAGGCGCGGCTGCTGGCGCTGCTCGAGGGCCGCGCC